CTACAGAGATTCAAGGAGATTAAATGATTAAATCAATGGAGCTGTCTAGAATTTCCCTCCTTGTACATCTATTCTCCAGAGCAATCCTAGTGGGAGAGCGCTGAGAGAAGCGCTTGCGCCTAAGTGTGGTACCTAGTCTGCAAATGCAGGGGAAAGACTTAGATCATGAAAGCACTGTTGGAAAAGGGGAGCTGTTGGATTGATTCAGGTGTGCTGCTGAAAAGGTGCATGCTTGCTTCTTCCCATATGCTTGTCCTCTCACATCATTTTCCCATGCTGTAACATTTCTGTTAATGCTTCATTAAAAATGTGATGCTTTTTGACAAGAAAATTCATCAAGAAGGTTCTGCAGAGCTCTTCAAAACATCTCTGAGGAGATGGTGAGCTGATTTGGAAGAAGCTGATGAAATGGAAAATGACCTGGTGAATGAGAAACTTTAATGCATGGTGTTTGTCAGAAGGAAGCAGTTGGAGAGAGAGATTCAGAAAGGAGAGGCAAAGACTGGGGAGAAAACACAGAGATTTGGAGGGCAGGATCTTTTTAACACTGGAAAGGGAAATCCAAACAATCCAAACAGCATCTTTGCTGTTTTTTGGACTCGTAAAAACTTCTGAAACCTAGTTAATTAAAGGCATACTATTTAGCGCCCTACATTTGATTGATCCTTCTCTCAGGAATGTGTGAATGAGATGCCAAGGTGTAAACAAGAACCATGAGATGTACATCTGCAGTGAGCTAACATACCCATTCTATTAGCATAATTCATTTTCGTCAGGTGCTTTATGCAGCAATTTATTTAGTTTAGCAACTTTGCCCATTGCAAGAGATTCAAAGCTAAAAATCAACAGAAATTAAATGCTTGGCTTATTTTTCACCAGGAATTCTTGAAGATATAATATGTGATGGTATCTGCTTCACAGCGCCATGCAACTCAGTCACAAGCTATCACAAGTGACCTATAAACCAGATTTATTTGACACTAAATTCAAGCTGAAAACAACTTCCCCAAGTCCCTAGAAAAGGCAGTGAAACTGTGTTCTAAGGAGGCATGTACACACATTCAAATATGCATACTTTTATGCACAGATATCATCATGTATCATATTCTTGCTGACCATCTGTTTGCTCTGAGATGATTCAGTTGCTATGCCTTTAGGGAAAACACTGGGTAAGACCCGCATGCAAATGTGCAAGGACACATTTGGGGATATGCTTACTGCTGTGTACTGGGAACCGAACTGCTATACCTGACTCCATCTATCCGATCAGCCCTGCTGGCTGGACAGTCAAGATGACTGAGAGTCTCTCCAGAGATCCACTACCTTACAGCAAGGGAGGGTATGCAATGTAGATGGTATAAATTCCGACTAAAATTTTGGTTGTCTGTGGGAGCTGGATAGGGTTCAGGAACACACAGAAGGCAAGTGGCTTTTGCTACCACTTAGATCAGACAAAAACAGTTTAAATTGCTATATCTTGTAGGACAATACAGAACCATACTAAAGCAGGACATTTTATTTTTATTTTTATTTGTATTTTTATTTTTTATTTTTATTTTTTCCTAGGTTGGAATCAACAATGGGAAAAATAAAGCACCTTTAAAAAGTGAGGGAGATGTTGAATCCAAACTGCATACTAAATATAAGAACTTTGCCTTCACATAGGTCAGTATGGTGAAATCTGGCTATCAGAAATGGAGTTTAGTCTAAGGCAGATTTACCCATACACAGGAGAAGATCTATAACAACTGTGGTGTTCCATTAACTGCTTCTCCACGTACTCTCAATGTACCACAGGACTGCATTTCAGACAGGTCTGAAAGAACCCTTCAGATGGAAGTCATGAAGATCTTTATTTATACTTCCTCAAATCCTTGTTTTAGGTAATATTTTTCGTATCTTTCCCTATGCTTAATACATATCTGTCAGCCTTATTAACTGAAAGTATATTGCTGTTCCAATTATCTACTTTGCTTTACGTGTAGGGGTTTTAACTTCTGGTCTAATTTAGGAATGTTCAGAAATTATATCTTAAGTCAGGAGCTAGATCCCTCAATTTTTCAGGGGTGTTCTGTTGGGCTTTTGTTATCAAGCATGTTATAATCAGAGTTACTTGTAAGAAACTCACTGTTTGCTACTCTGCAGAGAGCTTTACACAGGCAGTTAATTGCATGTGGTCACGTGCAGTATCAGGGCCTAGTGGTTTTGTGTGTGGATTATTTATTTATTTATTTATTTATTTTATTTTATTTTTCCTGTCAAGTCAATTCACAGTTGCAGGCAACTGAGATTTAGTATTTTGATTAGGGGTTTTCCTTATTTTTCTCCTTTTGAGTCTGTGATGAAAGAAGCTCTCAGATCCGCCCTTGTATTTTTGTCCCAATGAAGTGGAGCTTCCTATGGCATTTTCTTTGCTCCAGAGCTATTCATCACTAACACTGTGTTGATAATGTGATGACAGTTGTTGCCAAAACTTTCCTGTTCACCCTAAATCTTTTTTTTTTTATTATTATTATTTTCTTTTTCTTGGTATGAAAATAAAGATACAAAACTCAGCAGAGAGAGAACTCTGTGGAATGAAAGCTCAAGGTGACTGGGACAGAGCAATTATCCAAGGACAAGCCCTGGTGAGGGAGGCATTTTCCAGATTCCAGAGGGAGTGAGGGAGAAAAGAAGGGTGTGGGGCTAAAAGGGGTAGTAGGACGGGTGGGATGTGCCAGCTGGGGGCTGGGGAGGGAGGCAGTGCTCCTCTTTTAAAGGAAAATGAGCAGCCAGCATAAACTAGATTCGTCTCACCATGGGGTGAGGGTGGAGAACCCACCAACTGCTGAGACAGTCAATAGGCAGATTATTCATCACACATTGCTAGGAGATTAACTGAGCAAACGTTCTGACAAAACTGATTAAAGCCTTCATCCTGTACAGGGGAACAAAGAGAGACCAAGTTATTACACTCCAGCCAAATGCCAGATGACGACTACACACAGTGGAAACACAAGTCCGTATTTTTTTTTCCCTTCCCAAACTGAGATGACTCTCCCTTTCTTTATCACTACAGTCATCACAAATTAGGATCTGTAAATACAGCTACTCACAGAACATTTCAAAAGACAGATTGCTGTGATGTAATAGATAAGAAATGCCCCCCACTCTCCTTAGTGTGTTTCTTTTAAAAAGTTATCTCAGAGTATTATCATGTCTACAGACTTCTCTCTTCTGAAGTGCATTCCTTCCCGGTATCATCGCCACTGTTTACAATTGCAGATACTTAAAATGAACAAAATACTTGACTTCCCATTATAGTAAAGGTTGGATGTTATGCCTTCAGCCACATGTAAACTTTGAATATGAGCACTTCCAGTATCAGTGTTTGCTCAGTTGCTAGCACTGGTAAAGGGGAAAAAGATATGATATTTTATAATATTCACTAATTACCACAGTTTCTAGCCTTAACAGCTCCTAAAACAAGAGTAGTATCAATAAAAATAAATCACTTAACTGTAAAGTTCTGAAGTCTGGGAAAATCATGAAAAACAGCCTGAGAAAGGAATCTCTTTCCAGACACCTCTGATTGTTTTCTCTTGGCAGTCAAAATTTTAATGGGTCATGGAAATGAGCAGACCAAAACTGTCAAGTGCCTACTAACTCTAACAAGTGCCTGCTAACAAGTGTTTAACCTAAGGCACTGCTGAAGCCTGTTTTTTGAGGGATACCAAGTACCTGAGCTCAGCATTGGTTTAGATGTACGTATGATTTCTCTGGCACAAAAAATCAACTGCTTTTGAGAAGGAAGGCTGTTGGCTGTTATATTGACCGGATGATGCTACTTGTGGCTCTTCCCCCTCTATACTCCTGACTCTGAAAGTCCATTACATCTAATTATGTCTTTAGACTGTGATGACATGAATAAACCATTGAACCATTGGAAGTTAACTGTCATGGTTCTTAATGTCATCAAAACCAGATTATTCTAAGGTAATAACAGAAGTCTCTGGAAATTAAGGAGAACATTGGTGTGGTTAGATATGCTCAAAGACTGTTAACTAAATTATTATGTTACCCCATGGGGATTTTTTGTTTAATGATTTGTATTTATTAACTTGCACTTTCCTTAGCTGTGGTCATCAGTGCCATCTCTTTAATAACAGCAAGGAGGGAAGGAGATAGCAAATAAGAAAAAGATTTGCCTGTTTAACACAGTAAACCTTAGACGTTGGGTTAAGAAACAGATTGCATATATTAGAAGCAGAACTGATAGAAATATTTATAACAAAACCAGCAAAGTACTACTTGTAAGACAATAGAACAGTATATTGGCAGGAAAAATTTGTAAATATAATAGAAACTGTTATGTACATGAATGTTTCATTGATCTTGTTTATGTGTTGAGGTGGAGCAGTTAAAAATTAAGAAAACCCTTGAGAACTGCGTAATTCATAGCTGATTTTAAAATGTTCTAAACTGTTCAATAGCTTTATCTTGCAACATGTTGCATATGTCAACTTTTCATAGCTAACATAAATCTACAAAAGATAATGCTTTTTTATTATTTTTTATTATTATTTTTAAGTATAATAGCCAGGTTCTCTCAATTTCAAGACAATCCCAATTATTATACAGTCTTTGAAAAGACAAAGCAAGTGCATGCATCTGGATTGCTCTGGCAAGATATCTTTTTGAAATGAGGGAAACAGCTTCTCTTTTTTAAAAACCTTTTATACTCTTGTAAAGGCAATAATATATATATATATATATAACAGATGATACAGACTGCTCTTTACAGTCACTGTGAAGATTTATGATTTCTGAAGTTAAATATTGACTTTGGCATCATGTTGGTCAATATTTATCTCTCAGATCAATATATCTTAATATTGAATGCAACTGAAGTCACCATGCTTTCCTGTGTTAGCTCTGAATGATTGATATCAATGTGTTTTCCTCTCCCCTCAATAAATCTTTTACTTTCCTGTATTCCAGTTTGATGGAGTTGGAAGATCTTTTTGAATCAGTAAATTTTTTTTATTTTTTATTTTTTTATTTTTTTTTATAGAGTGTTGTTCTTCTCATCAGGTTGTTTAACTACATTCCTTACTTCTTTAGAAGTTCTACTATAACTACATAAACTGCCTTAGCATGAAAAGATTTTTCCTACTGCCTAAGTAAATACATAACTTCTGAGAGCATATTATGCTATATTACTTTCATTATGATTTTACATACCGGAAGTTCTGATCATCATAATCATCCTAATCAGTATTAGTGCTTTTTTATTACCCCTAAATTTCTATCTTAACATTTGCTTTTCTGATTCTCAGTGTTGTCCTTCAAATACTAGTTATTTCACAACATAACTGAAAATTCTAGTTTATTTAAAAATTTAAACATTTAGTCCCTTTTAGTAAGTTTATGTGTCAGATTTTTATTATCTTTATTTCCCCAGTACAACTCAGTTTATGAAGAAGTTAAAGACATGATTACAACTAGCTTTTCATATACATATATGAAATCATAACACTGAAATTATTGTGTTAGAAAGACCTTTGGGGCTAATTGAACAAACCTGCTTTACTGAGTCCAATTAAAATTGAAGTTCCCAGTGTACTCTTCTGAACATGATATGTAGACACTCGTTAAGGCAAAAATGGGTTGCTGGCTACCCTCCTTGTATTATCCTTGCCCAAACCTTTAAAAAGATCCAGTCTCTTTATATAAAATATGCATGTATGTGTTATTTCCTCAACTATAGTCTTACCAATAGAAATGTATGATTATATTTCACTGAAATATATAGTCCTTTCTACTTTCAAAGTCTAAAAGAAACCCCTTTCTCTTGTTCCCCTATGTGAAATGCTGCCTATGTCCTGACCATGTTGTGCCTGTAGCAGCCCTGGCACCCCGCTGCCCTGCAGTCCTCTTTGAGGGGCTCTGTAACAGAACCAGCCCCAGCATCATGTGCTACACTGTGAACCCAAGTGTCATTCATCTACTCAGTCTTTGTTCAGTGTTGCTATTTTCCTACTGCACAGCTCCAAGCTTAATCAAGGGATGGTAACCTAGATGGTCCATGCACCCATTTCAACTCCAAGAGTAGACATTTGATTCTAAAGGATCCTAATTTTTCCACAGTGTAATTTTTTCAAATGCCTGAGACTGTAAAATGTCTGTATGAGTAGTGCTCACTCTTGAACAAAGGGGAGTAGGAGTTTTGATAAACAAAGTTTTATTCTTGCCACTGGGAAAAGCTAAAAGAATTCCTAATATTAAATAACAAAATGAAGGATACTGCCAAATCATCAGCTAAGCCTTTTATTTGTTGCTGTTGCATTCCCATGTGAGGGCTGCACCCAACAGGATAAAATAGCTCCCTTCTACTTTTACTGACAGTGTCATGGAAAAATTGCCAAACAGAAACAAAGACCCTTCTTCCACTTCCGCCTTCGGACATAAACAGCTGTACTGCTGCATGTAATAAATTATCAGAATGGATGAAAATCTTCCTTTCCTTCACTATTTTCTTTAAAATGATTTCAGAGTGCTCAGAGGAACACAGCCTCTTTCCCTGTCTGAGAAACAGAGTGAAAATGGCTTCTGATGACCTTCTACATTATTTGGGTAGCTCAGCTAATTAGGGACACAGCAGAACTCCCTTGTGACTTGCCCTATCATGATCTTTCCCAACTAAGACAGTTCAAGCTCTGAATGCACCAGAAAAGAGCTGCTCCATGATGTTCTTTGCAGTTTAAGAGAAGTACATTTTCTTCTGTTTGGATGGAAATGCAGTGTCTGGAAGAAAAAAAAAAAGAAAAAGTAATTCACCAGTACATTTGTGAACAGGGAGTGAGACTGAGCATGTGTTTGAAGGCAAAATGCAAGCAGTTGTATGTTTTACTCCTTATCATTTATTAAGGTCCAATTACTCTCTAGTAGCTTTTTTTTTTTTTTTTTTTTTTTTTTTTTCTTTACTTCCTTTACTTCCTTTCAATAATTTTCTTTACTTCTTGCTTTAAACTCTGGTGTAGTATTGATGTGCACAGCTCTGAATCTGCAGAACTTCAGTCCAGGAGAGCCTGCATTTCCCTGGTGGGTGAACAGACTGTCCTTATTTACAGTGGACTGTAAAAAATTGCAGCAACTGCACCAGAAATGCTTTAAAATGTCAGTACCAAGCAGCTGATAAATGAGGGTTTATTAGCTTTACTTGGTATTATTAACATGAGTACTATTTCTATTAATGATGACATTGATGTTGACTTTTACAAGTAGGAGGGAATCAGGTTTGAAGGTCTTGTACAGTAAAAATTCTTCAGGCTGTTTAGAAGCAGCTTGTGAAGATCAGTAAAGAGTTTCTCAGCATCATGCAAAACTTCCAAGCAAGGCAATCTGGAAGCATTGCCTAAATGCTGGAATAATGATCTATCTAATGGTACAGCTTGGTATAATTAATTATTTCTCAGATCTCTAAGAAAACAGGACTGAAAATACTACTGTCCTTGCAGTTCCTTCTAAAGCAAGATGGACAAATCTTGCTCTGCCACTGAAATGATGAGGATAACAATGCTAATGGTAAGTGGGGATGCACGCCTTCATCCTCTGACACAGCCTGCTGGGTTAAAACACCCCACTTGAAATGGCCTCTGACTCCTTGTCTAACTGAAGCTGACTTGAGTGAGACTGAAGATGATGTTAAGATCCTTGAAAAATTGTAGAGGGAACCTCTCTGCCAGTTTTATGAACAAACTGTATTTCTTCTTTCTCAAGTCCACTCAGCAATGAAAAAGAAATTCCTTGGTTTTGTCCTACTAACAAGAGATCAAATTTGCAGCCACTTAAAACATTTAGGCACATGTGACAAGCTTCCAAGTCCTGCTGTTAATGTTAAGAGGGTCCTAGCAAATACTAAGATGTTCTGACTGTCAGATAGGGTGATGAGGCTGGAAGGACTGATCTGAGAACAAATTACAACAATCAGATATGTTTAGCTTGGGTAAACAACAGTAATAGGCTGGGAATGCTGACAAGTTTGGAGAAGGCTGTAAACATCAGCAAAAGCAGTGACATAACTCTGAAGGTTCAAGTAGATTCCGCTAAGAGTGAGGGCTTGTTTACACCAAGAAATTCACTGGCATTATTATGCAGCATAATTATACAGCATAATTGTAATTGTAATTATCCTGGAATTATTCTGAAGGAAGAGAGTCCACATGGGGAGTCATACTGATATAAAGATACTACTAAATTTCCCTGAGTAGACCAGCCTTAGTAAAAGAAAGTATTCTTTTTGTGCAAAGCCTCTGTGTGCTATCATTACTAGTACCACAATGCAATGCAAAACAGAGAATGTAAATTACAGCCATTTATTTCTTTTAGTTGATTTTAACTATCCATTCCAAGAACTGTCCACAGAGAGAGAATCCCTACCAGCACTGGCGTGTGTGACACATATTCCCATTTCATATGAGGAGTCTTTGCAACTTTTCTGCCCCTTTATTCACCCAGGACTGTGTCTTGCTCTGTAGTTTAGCTCAGCTAAGTAGCTTGCATGACAATAGCTCACTGTCTGTCTCTGTGGCACTGTCATCCACAGATGTAAGGCACTTGTGATGAGGTTGATTTACTCCATCCTATTGCTGTTGTGTCATTTTCTAATAGGGTTTGTTTTTTCATACTTCGCTAGATTTCAGTTAACAAACTTTCATTTTCCTTTGGGAAGCTATATCGTATGCCTAGGCTTGTCTATGTAAAATGTTGTTCTGTGTTAATATTACCAGAAGAGCCGAATGATACATTCTTCTACGTGTGAGTTATGGACACTCCTATAAAACCACATTTATAAACCATTTGCATGACTTCATTTGCATGTCCTCTGTGGCCATTTCATTGGACTGGAGAACAAGTTTAAATGTGTTTGGCCTCAGTGAACAAAATCTGTCACTCCCATGCTACTCCACAAGCAATGGTGCCACTGGCTGAGGAGGGATAGTGAGGCTTCAGGATAGTTGGAAAAACACTGTAAAACACACAGTAGATGTATTCCTATGGTTTGTTTAAGATTTCATGCTGAGCTGTCCAGAAGAATTTAAATATTTGAAGGAAGGTTCAGAAAGCAAACAGTATGGCAAGGAGTTGCTGTGATAATTAGTTTGAATAGTAACATTGCTGCTCTTGACTAGCATTTTTTACTGTCTTTTCAACAGGAAGACATTGCCATAATCTTTGTTTTATAGATGACGAGCAAAGAGGAGATATGGCTTACTCTAAGTCCTATACCAGATTCTAGCTGAGAAAAGCAAACCAGTGTACTGAGTTCTTGGACAGGTACTGACAAGAGACCATGCACCAAGAACAATTTCAAACTGAGATATATTTTAAATATTTTAAGAATCTGTGTGGTTGCATGGTGAGGGGAAGCCACCCTCACTGTTGAAAGAAAAGGTTGGAAACAGATAGTTCCATTGAAATGGAGAATTTTAAAATGCAGATGACAGTGGGATGGGTGAAATAGATCATTTCAGAACTGTGCTTTTCTATGGCTGTCTTTTTCTGTTCTTTGTTAATACATAGAGTTTTGCAAACCTGAGTGTTCTGCTTCCACATTGCTTGTTCTTTGCTCCTTTATTTAAAATGACACCTACCTCTTATACATTTCCATACATCCAAGATAAAGAATGACTTTTATTTTTGTCTTCAGCTTGTCACTGTGAATTTCTTTTGTTTTCAATTGTGCTAAGAAAAAACACCAGAAATAAGATAACTTTTATCTATCTGTAAAGTCTAACCTGCCATACACCTCAGATCCAAACGACCATCTCAAAATCAGGGAAAGAATGACCAGACTTTATTTTCAAATTTTTGTCATTTTCCCTTTAATTTCTATATCACAGTCTTCCTCTCCCAAGAGGAAGAGTCATAAATGTTAGAGTCTTATGTTAGAGTCATAGTCTTATGTTAGAGTCATAAAATGATTGAAGCATCATCTGGAAAGCACTGTGGCATGTATGACCTCATATCCACAGACTGTGCCTGTGTACCATGAACAACACGTGGAGGATTGGTTATGAATGAGATTTTAAAAGGCCAGCAGGCTGATCTGTTGAATGTAATTCTGGGGAAAAGCTCAGGAGAGTGGTACCACCCTGTTGCACCACTGGATATCATAGTACTTAGCTCTTCTGCATGGGATTTGCTGAGAAGTATGTGTCCAAATAGATGGGACAAAAGGCATGGGAAAGGTTTTGACTTTATCTACTATCCCAGTGAGCAGAACATTCCCTTAGGATGCAGGAGGCCCACGTTTGTCTTTGTTTCTTCCTTAAGAAGACCTGAGTCAATCTCTTTCACTTCTCAGAATAGTCATTAGCATCAAGTGCTTACAGGAGACTTCCTCTGGTGGGCCTAATAGCCTTATTACCCTCCTCATAATTCCTTAATCACACAGCTGTTTAAAATTAGTTTATCCTCTGCAAAGCACATCAGTAGAATGAAACATCTTCCAGATTAAGGAGCAACTGAGTGAGATTTAGAACTGTCTTCATGTGGACAGTTAGACAGTTCTGCAGATTTATCCCTTCCTATAAAACTGCTTGCCTTGTGTTTAATTCTAGCTCCATCACTAATGTGTGGGTCTACCGTTTACTAGCCCATATTGCAGAATTCTCCTTTATCTGAGCCATGATTTCATTTACAAGTAGCCTGACTTTTAAAGACACCACGTCTTCATTGTTATGTTAAGTTAGAGCCACCACTGGTTTATTCAAGCTAACACACTTATTCCAGAATTTGAACAGTCCTTAAACCAGGTAAGCGGTTTGAACTATATGCTCCTCTGAACAGCACAGGTCAATGAGCTCAGCATCTTCTATGTTGTGTGTTGACTGAAAAGGAAACTGTGCAGTATAGACAAAATCAAATTTAAGAGTTCTGTCAAATTTTCTTCCTTCAAAAAAATGTCTTCCTTCAAAGACAAGCTCAGATTGTCAGTGTTTTACACACACAAACCTTTGTCCAGAAATGGGAAGAGTTTTTTCTCCCAGAAAATATAAAAATCACAGTCTTAGGTGGGATTCAGGTGTTTCAGAACACTTCCTTAATTCAGGCTTTACTAAAAGTACTTATGTGCTGAAAATTCAGGAGAACTATGGCAATATGTTATGAAAAAAAGATTTTAAGTTATTGCTGCTTAATATTACTAGTAATAGATTTTGCTGTGGGTAGGAATTTGTCAATCAAATCTCCCGTCCTAAATGCTAATTATTGTCATATTTGTCACTAAGAAATTCTGTTATGAGAGTAGACAGTTTATTAGTTAAAATGTTCCAGAACAACACCAATCACACTTGAAAATAAATGTTCAGTAGCACAATGAAGAACTATGCAGTAGCACACCTACTGCATGTTTATGTTTCTTGATCTTCAAAATTTTTTTATGCTTGGATTCTCTGTCTTTTAAAAATGAATATTGTGTTAATAGAAGATGTACATTTGACTGTCCTATGTCCACTTTAGTGAATGAGTTAGTAAAGTATGCCTTCTGCATGTGAACTAAATATCATTGTTTATAAAGCCCTGCAAATATGATTTTTTATGGTGATAAGACCCATTTGCAAACTGGCTGTAATTCTGACCTTGATAAAATTTTATGCAGCAGTGATCTCTTGCCCTCCTAGGGCAACTTTACCACTCTTCAAAAGTTTGAAATTTGTCTCAGCCTGAAATTTTACCCTCAAGCTCTAAGTGTGCATCCACTTGATGAAAGTCTTGTATAAAGAAAGACTTTCTATTTATAG